CGTTTGGGCTCTGCGCTTATTATTATTATCCAATGTCCACACAGGAAACTGGGTGGAAATACTTGTTATCAAAAACATAAAACCACAAGTCAAACACTTCCCAAGCGTTTAAGACTGTGTGATATATCTTCGAATTATGCGAGCAGATCCAAGTAAGGTGGCCTTTTGCAGCTGACAGATAGTAATTTTGTCAATATTTATGGTTTGTAACTGCCGGCTAAGATCTTTTGCCGGCAGTTACCAGTGTGCCGATAATCACTGGGACTATCTGTACTGGTTTATGCCAGAGACGTTGCAGTTCAATTTTTAGGTCGTGATATCGGCTAAGTTTTTCATGTTTTTCATCAATTCTAATGTCACCAGGTATGGCGACATCTATAATCTACACTTTTTTCTTCTCCACAATCGTGAAGTCTGGAGTATTATGTTCCAGAACTTTATCAGTCTGAATTTGAAAGTCCCAAAGTATTTTAACACATTCATTTTCAATTACTTTTTCGGGATTATGTTCCCACCAATTTTTTCCTATAGGTATATGATAGTTGTGGCACAGATTCCAATGGATCATTTTGGCCACAGAATTGTGTCTCTGCTTATAGTCCGTCTGTGCAATTTTTTGCAGCAGCTGAGAATATGATTAATAATTTCATCAGCTTCTTTACACAGTCTGCATGTTGGATCATCAGCAGATTTTTCGATTCTCGCCTTGATTGCATTTGTTCTGATTGCTTGTTCCTGGGCCACAAAAATCCGCCTTCTGTCTCCTTCTTCAATGCTCCATTACTAAGCCATAACCAGGTCCTTTCTTTATCCACTTTTCCTTCAATTTTGTCCAGGAACTATCCATGTAACGCCTTATTACGCCAGCTGTCAGCTGTAGCTTGTAATGTAGTTTTCTTATACTGATTCTTTGTCTGCTGTACTTTAAGGAGTTTTCTATTATTGACAGCAATCAGTGCAGGCTGCCCACTATCCTTGACATATTCTGCCAGTGCATAATTTTCTTCTTCAACAGTATGTATTACTTGTAATAGGCCTCTACCACCCAGCCTTCTAAACAGATACAACTGGTCTACATCGCTGCGCGGGTCATGAGTTTTCTTGTTTTTCTATCGAGACTGTCCAATTCTGCTTGTGTCCAGTTTATAATACCTGCAGTTTATCTTATGACAGGTATAGCCCAGGTGTTCATGGCCTTGATGGTATTGCCTCCATTGAGCTTGCTTTCGAGAATTTTTCTAATCCTCTGAGTGTACTCTCTACTAACCAGAGTTTTCACTTGCTCGTGCCTGATACTGTTCAGCTGCAGTATGCCCTGGTATTTATAGGCTTCTGGCTGGTGGCACTTTATGGCTTGACCATATGGCATATTAATACTTTCACTTTCAGTGATTTTGCCCCTCCTCAGTGCCACAGCTGCACACTTGTCCAGTCCAAACTCCATCCTGATATCAGTACTGAAGATTCGGACAGTGTTAGTCAAAGAGCAGATTTCAGTTTCACTTCTTCCATAGGGATTCAAGTCATCCATATATAGCAGATGTGAAATTCTTTGAGAGTTTTTTGATGTTTGATAACCAACGTTTGTTTGTCGTAAGATTATTGACAGAGGTATCATGGCAATGATGAAGAGCAATGGCGACAAGGAATCTCCCTGAAAGATCCTTCTCTTAATATTGACCAATCCATAGCTTATATTTCCAACAAATAGTTCAGTCTTCCAATATCGCATCATGTTTACAAGGAAGTTGCCAACCTTTTTGCAAACCCCAATAGTATCTAAACACTTAATTATCCAACTATGTGGAAGTAAGTCAAAAGCTTTTTTGTAGTCAATCCACGTCATGTGTAAATTAGTTTTTCGGCTTTTACAGTTGTCCAGAATCATTTTGTTAATTAAAAGCTGATTTTTCGTGCCTCTACTTTTCCGTTTGTTACCTTTCTGTTCATCTGGCACAATATCGTTCTCAAGATAATCTTGAATCCTATCACCAATGATCCCAGTCAACAATTTAAACATAGTGGGCAAACAAGTAATTGGTCTATAATTTCCTGGCACTATTCCCTTTACTGGATCTTTTTGTATCAAATATGTTCTTCCAACTGCTAACCATTCTTTGATGTTTCCGTTTTGCAGCATCTTGTTGAATTGCTGAGTCATTTTTTTATGCAGAGAGGTCAAGTATTTAAGCCAAAATCCATGCAACTGATCATTGCCAGGTGAAGTCCAATTCTTAACTTTTTTAAATCGCCTATTAATCATTACAGTTGTTACATCTTACAATCATTACATCTGTTGCATTTTGTTGTTTAAGTTAAATGGTGGTTACATTGGCCATTAAATTGTAAGAAAATTTCGAAATTTGAAACCTGTCCAGATAAATATGTAACAGTTTTTTGTACAAAATTTTCAAAAATATTTTCAGTGACAAAATGTTAATGTTTGATTAAAATTCTTATTTTGCAGTGTGGAAACATGTGAATCCATATTATTTTTAATAAAACATTTGTCGCTTAATGCAGCAAATTTGGGTTTTATTTTAATTTTTTTGTGTCCGTATAAAATTGAAACGCACTTTATTTTATAACCAACTATTTTGATATAATTTCTATATAAATAATATATTGTTCTGATAATAAAGATAATTAATTATAAATAAAAACCCGAAGTAGCTCGGTTCGGAGAGCGTTAGGTTGAAGATCTAAAGGATCCTGGTTCAATACTGGGTTTCGGCAGACGTGCATATTTTTTTTTCCCTCTTTTAAAAGTGGTTTTCATATCAAATCAAATGCTTATACACTTTAAACTACAAATCATTGCCAAAGTTAATTCGCTTTATTTTCGGTTTGCGTGTATTTCTGGTACCGGTAGAACAAACGAAAACAGGACCCTCTACAAGTAGTGCAAGTCGCCAGACTGACACGTCACCTATTTTAAAGCGTAGCGCTAGCTCGTAACTGTTGTCTATATTCAATGGTTTGTTAACTGGAGCTTTGGTAGTGTGATAATTAACGATACCCAATCGTGGAATTTTCATAACGACAGTTATACAAAGAGGAGTTATCAAAAATTAGGAAGATTGCTTATGTGAGACTATTTAAATTCAGTGTTTAAAAATATTTATGTCAGAAAGTTTCTACTGTAACGGGTGGTGGTTCGTGGAATGGGTATGAATATGTGTTATTCTTTATCATAATAAAAGTTATCTGAGGATAACTTTTGTTATGGTAAAGAATTAATATTTGTTATGGTAAAAAATTAATATGTATTTATTTTAATTATATGAAAATAATGGCACAATATTTTATTATAACTGCATTATGTATCTTATTACAAATTTCTATACTACACGTGAAAAAAAGATAAGATTGCTATTGTATATTCGAATATTAGTGGCAGAGTGGAAGCGCTGTATTGTCAGCTTCCGAACAGCCAGATTTGCGCACGTGCTTTACAGAGCACCAACCTCACCTGGTGGAAGTCTAGGACCTTGGGTGGAAGCTACACACGTATAACGCTTCCAATTCTATCCAAGACCGGTTCTGGGCTGTTAGCCGCCTGCCCGCTAGATATTTGGTCACCTTCGCCCAATTATGGAAATCATGAGTAGATTTATAACTTAACCCAACCGATAAGAATTTACTGGTATGTTTTTATGAAAGTTCTGTATAGTTGACAGGAGTTTTAAAAAATCCGTTAAAATATTTGATATATTTATTCCGCTCTCCGATTTTATATTACTCGCGGATTTCAATGTTAAACCAGTGATATTACGATTTCGTACGTCCCATCTTTAAGGGAATGTAGAAAAAAACGTGTACAATTCTTGTATAATGTTAAAAAATTAACTGTTACTTTAGTAGCATAATTTACAATTAAATTTAGTGAATGAGAGAGATGCACAAGGTACAAAAAAAAGCTCTAGAACAGGGGTTCCCAATCATTTTATACTGTGACTGTGACTCCCTTTACTAACTGTAACTTTTTTGCGACGCCCTTCTGAAAGAAGATACCTGCGTGTAGCTCTAGCAGACATTAAAATTACTTCATTATTCAAAGAAAACTCCAAAGAATATAGAATCTTAATAATTATTATTTATTAGAAAATATAATAGTACAATTAATGAGAAGGATGAGCTTGCTTTTCTGAGCATAACTTCTCAAATCGGGGCTGAAGTTTTGAAATCGCTACTCTCATTTCTTTTTCTAAATTTTTTTGTGACCTGTATTTCGACTTGATTACTGCAACTGCAGAAAAGACAGTTTCACACAAGTACGACGTAGTAAACGGTAAAAGAACCTTCAAAGCTGTAGTACTGATAGGATATTCTTGGGATTGCTCCAAAATTGAAATAGTTTGTCTTTATTGAATCGTAGTTTTAAACTCGTATCACAAGATAGTTCTAACAGCTGTTCTTTCTCGACTGTTGAAAGTGTAGATAGGGGTGGGATCGATTGGAATGTGTCTCTAATCCAGTCGTATTGATCTACATTCTTTGGAAAATATGTATCAAAAGGGGTGCTTAGTGTTGATAAGTGTTGGATAAATATCGATTGCAAACTTGGCTCTAGATTTTGAATAGATTTTTCTCGCAAAAAGCCATTTAAAACAGGAAAAAACAGTCAGTATTTCTTTGCTCCTCTTCTATTTTTCTTTTCCACAGCAACAACTTTTTTTTTTTTTAAACGCTGCAATTTTATCAGCCAGTTGCAGTATATGCGTTTCGTTTCCCTGCAGAGATTTATTAATGACATTTAATTTCTGAAATATGTCGCAAAGATACTCCAGTTTTATTAAGAAGTCAGTATTGCGTTACGATGCGATTCTATCAATAAATACGTGTACAACTTATGTTTTAATTCGTATACACGTAAGAGTACGTTACCTCTCGACAACCAACGAGAGTTACAGTAATAAAGTGAAGATGTATGCTCGGCACCCAAATCTTCACAAAGCTTTCGGAAAAATCTTGCCTTCACGGGTCTTTTTTTATAACGTTTACCACTTTAATAATTATATCAATTACAAAATTTAATTTAGATGAAATATTTTTTGTAGCCAGGGCCTCCCTATGTATAACGCAATGTGTCCATTTTGCATTTGGTGCCTCGGTTTTAATGAGAGCTTGAAGTCCTCCGTACTGCCCTGACATCGAGCGAGCTCCATCCGTAGACACACCGACACAGTTCTCCCATTTAATGTCAGTGGCTTACCGTAGTGGGGGCGGCAAAATTTCACAATAAATAATAATAATATCTTGTAAAAATTTGAAACATCCAAATCTATACTTGCCTACGATAGTGCTATCGTCCGGACAGTCCGGGAATCGGCTCGCTGTCCGGGTGAACTAGTAATTTTTTCATCCGAGGAAATCCTGCGAAACCTGTTGACCTTTTTTTTGCTTGAACGATTCATTCACGTTCATATACACCACTAATGTCCAATAGAACTATTTTAAACAGGTCGCTGCACTACCACCGAATTTTTCATTGCTTGTTCTGTGACAAAACTGAATTTTGGTCTTTTAAATTGAAATACCTAAATAAGGGGGCCGAAATTTTTTTCCGCCCCGGGCGGCTGACACCCACGGTACGCCACTGTTGAATGTTAATTTCTTTCATGTATGAATCTATGATCGCAAAAAAATCACTAGCCTTCCCGGTGTCAGTCATTTCTTTGCAAAATAACAAATCCTCACATACATTTGCTTCTTCCATGTACCGCACGTAACATATTAATTGAGCGTCATTATTACTGTCTATCGCTTCATCCAGTTGAATGGCAAATAAACCAGAAAGTTTTTCCACAATTTGCTCATTAATGTCTTCAGCTATGTCATGAATGCGACGACTAATCGTATTGTTAGAAAGAGGAATATTTTTTATTTTTTTAGCCGCCGATTCTCCGAACCAATCTCTAACCGAGTACAGTGGGACTGATTTCTTCGAAATATTAGATGTAATAAAGACAGACATTTTTCCAGTTCAACGAGAGTGACCGAAAAGTTGTAAATTTTGGAAATTTCCAAAATTTCCTGGTCCTAAAACGAATTAGGAAACAAACGACAGACAATCTATTAAGTTTAACATATAGTGGTTAAGATTTAAGAGTAAAGAATATTTTATGTTACTTTTATGTACGTTTCATTACAAAGCTATATTTAATTATAATTTTCTTTAAAAGTATATTCATACAATTGAAGAAGGTTTTGTACCAGGTATGTATATCCACCACAAATTTTATTTCACCAAATATTTATAAGTTTTTATAATTTTATTTTTAATTTTAGCCCTTATATCGTGGCTAGCGATTCAGGGTGTTATTGCGATATTGAAAATTTATTTTGAAAAAGTTTTGGCTCGAGATCATATAATGAAAAAGAAAACATTATTAAAAGAGAAAGGCCAATGCCTAAGTTAAATATAAACACTTCAATAAAAAAATTTGTTCGACATTTTCACGATAAAATGATTCTGTAAATGCATAAAAATGCAAAAATTGTTTTGTTGGCTTTGCTTACTATTTTCAAATGAAATTAGTGCGTGAAATAAGAATGGCTTTGACGATTTAGCTGGCAAAAGACACGAAATATCGTCGATTCTTTCGTATTTGAAGCAATTTGGAAATCGAAGCGGAATAGAATTTAACATTAGTTAATAATATAAAATAAATATTGAAAATTATAACGAGAAGTTACGGTTAATAGAGATATTATATCTAAATAAATAGATGTTATATGTTTTTATCGAAACGAGAATTGGCATTTAGAGGGCATAGGGAATCTACTGAAACTAATAACAGAGGTAGTTATATTGAACTTGTTTATTTATTAAGTACGTCAGATAAATAATCTATTAAAAATACATTTAAAGAAATAAGTAACTGATTGCCCCTGAAAGTCGGCTTTTTATAGAAACACAGCTTCTCTATTATCAAATGTCACGGCACGCCACTGTTAAGTATTTGTCGTAATGGATTGTTTTTGAATTATTGAAGATTGGAATTTCTGTAATATAAGGTAATGGATGGTTCAAAATAAAATCTTATCGATCAGAATTCATTGATACTTGTTTCCATTTTACGCAAGCATGTAATGTCTTAAAAAATCCAATTTAAATAAAAGATATATAGGCCTAAATGTTAAATAAGGCTAAATATATTTAACAAAAACAATATATTTGACATAATCAATATAAACCATAAAATGGTTCTGCATCTCAGAAATCAGAAATCTTAATTGTAATAATTAATAATATTCTGTGAAATTCTTATTTATTTGATAGTAAAATAACTCATTCTACTTTGGAAATTCAATAGAATAAGTTTTTATCAATGATTTATTAATTAAAATGTAAATTAATAATTTTCAAGAGATATGAATGTTGCCTTCATTCTAATACAAAGTGACAACCCTCATTTATTATCTGTAGCTTTTTCTCCGCAAAATCCCTGCTAAGTGAGTTATGCATAGAGACTTGATTTTGCTTCTTTGCATTGTAATGGAGCGAAGTATTTTAATCTTTACTAATAAAAAGAGATAAAAGAAAACTGTCAATATTAAGAGACAACATTATTACTACTTTTACTATAAAGGCATAATGTAAATACATCGAATAAATAAATTCTGTTCTTATGAAAATTTGCTATTAATACATTTAAAAAAATGTTCAATTATTCAAATAAAATACATTTCTATGTAAAATGATTTAATATATTAAAAAGTTATAGCTTTATTTAAAAGTCTTGGAAATAATAAATAGTTTTCAATTTCCATTATATTTATCAACTGACACTTAGGAAATTGGCAATAGTACATAAAGAATCAGGAATGATTTATAGATCTTAAGAAGTTATATAAACGCCATTACATTTAAGCAATATTTTACCTTAAAAACTTACTGTAAAGAGATTATACCATTTTGGTTTATTGAAAGTAAAATGTTGGCTGGAAACACGGTCGAATGTTCGTAGACTCAATATAATTCGATTTACTCGAGTAAAAAGAATGGCATCGATAAGAGATAAACAACGTTGTTTCGGATACATAACGGCTCCGATATTTAATTCATCAAAGGTATTTGGTCTAGATTTTTGGCATCCCTGTCAATGCATGGAAGATGGAAAAAAGGATAATTTTTTTTCAGCATTATTCAAGTTTTACACTTCATTCGTAGAAGTATTTCAATGGATAATAGCGTTATCTTTCTTGATAAGAATATACAATATTAATCTTTATATTTTAAGAGTTATCAAAATATATGGAGATTATGCGCTCGAAGGATCAGTAGTCTTGGCATTTTTAGCAGTATATATTGCTGCGCAGCTTAGTATACTGAAAAGAAGAAAAATTGAAATTCATTGCGTCATCAGCAGTTATCGAGAAGAATGGAAAATTACCGAGCGCATAGATAAGTATTTTTTGAGATTGTTATCTCTCTTATTTATCATATTTTTTATGATTATCGTAATGGCCGAAATTGCATTTTATGAAGAAATCAAGAAACAAAACGGAACAGACACAGAGGCATTTCTTGCCTCTTTCATTCACACTTTAGGGCTCATGTATTGTGCCGGTCAGATCATATTTCTTCTGTCTTTATGTTCAGCAACCGTGTTTATAATGCAGAAGAGATTCCTGAAGCTGTCTGAAGAAGTAGCGAAAATAACTGTTGACGAACATTTCCTACATGAGAAATTAGAAGAAATATTGCGAAATCTTGTGGAATTGTGGGGATATTTTGAAATGATAAATGAAAAGTGGGACATTTATCTGCCTTTTTTATACACGACTGTTCTCTATGGGTCGTCTTTCTTTTGGTATGCGACATTATTTGTTAAATTACAACTTACAGTAAGAATTCTGTTTTCAATAGTATCTTTCGCTATTCTCTTTGGATTAATTTCTGTTAGCTGGGCGCTCTCCACCTTCACATCTGCTGTATGTAATCATTATTTCTCTTTCGATTTTTAAATTCATAAATTAATGTCTGTTTTAAAGTAGTAATTTGTTAATAAATTATTAAACGCGAATCTCTATCGAAATCAATATATGAATTCTTTGTCCGATATTGTGAATGGGATCGGTGTTTAAATTTTTGTTTGTTTCTTTGTAAATTATTTGTTATTTTGTAACTTCACTTTGTTATAATTTTTTAAAAAAATGCTTATATTAGAGTTGTTTAAATTTTTTAATCATTTTAATTTAATGCTAAATTGATTTAACATGTAATTATTAATCCATACATTAGAAATATATTTTATTTTTCAGATCTACGATAATTTCATTAGTATTGAAAAGGTTTCTTCTGCAAATCTTCCGTTGACATTCAAATTTAAGGTATGTAATAAATTAGAAAAATGTGAAAATGTGTATTTACATTAAGATTTCCAGTGTATTGTTTAATTCACTATTCAGAATGTCTGTTATTAGAAAACAAAATGGTTATGAAAAATCAATATAATTCTCGTAGGACATTTATTAAATTCCATTATTGATAAATGTGATTAAAAAATTTCATTGCATTTAATTAACATTTAAAAATTTTATTTTATTTTCAAATTGTTAATCTTAACTACTTTTATAAATTATTTTTGTAAAAGATAAATGACTTTATGAAGAGATTTGGAAAGATTCCTCTCGGAGTATCCATCGGCGGATTCTTCTATATTAAACGAGATTTCATGATAAGGGTATGTTCTAAACCTTTTAAAATATATGTAAATACATTTAATTGAATTACATGAAATTTTATTATTTACAGATCATAAGTGGTGTTTATTCGGTATTCTCCTCTTGCATTGAAGTGAGCGGAATTTTAAAAAAAGAAACAAAATGTGCTGTTAAACACGGAAATAATACTCATCTTCTTTAAGTTTTTTACACATAAATTACAACAGAATTTCACAGTATTTGCAACGTAAAAGATGTAGTAATGATCTGTACTGAAATATTTCATTATATTTCATTATATTTCATTATAAACTCATTTATAACATCTATTCTCATTAATTAATAATTGCAAGTTATCAACTATGATGAAAAATTACATGCTTTCTCTTTTACAACATGTTTTAATCTATTATTTTCTAATCTTCGAAAACATTTACGCCAGTTTATCACACAATAGTAATCTCCTGTAACAGAATTTACCAATTTCATACAATTCACGTAAATATTCTAAGAAAACAAAGCTTATATGAATACATTTAAAACAATTCTCTTTACTTAAAAATATTATCATTCCGAGAAAAGCAACGTTGTATGGGGTACACGATGGCTCCAGCATTTAATTCAGGTAAGGTATTTGGACTAAACTTTTGGTAAGATGAAAAAAGCAAAGGAACAACGTTATATTCGATCAACATTATTTAAGTTATATATTTCATTTGTAGAAGTATTTCTATTGGTAATGGCTGTCGGTTTTTTCATGAAGTCGTATCTTTTCTTTAAGAAGAGTTGGCAAATTATGGAAATTATGGCAATAATCATTGCATTTTTCTCAGTAAATATTGCTGGTCAGTTCAGTAGACTCTACCAAGAAAAATTGAGATTCAGGGTGCTGTCCGCAGTTATCGAGAAGAATAGAAAATAAGCAAAAGCATAGAAGGGTACTCATTAAGTCTTATTTATCTTACTTAAAATGATCGCCGTAATGTCCTGAAATACATTCTATGCGGAAATATAAATGCAGAATAAAAGAGATACAGAAGCATTTCTTGTCTATTTGCATCACGAGTCAGAATAAATCTCTTCTCTTTCTATGTAAAACACTTATATTTTTATAGTTAAAAGACATACCTGAAGCTGTCCGAACAAATAGCTAATACAACTAATAAACATTTCCTATTGGAGATATTGAAAGAGATTTTGCAAAATCAGTTTGAGCTTTCGGGATATTTCAAAATAATTAACGAACAATAGGATCTTCTGTTTGCATGTGCTTTATCTGCTTTCTTTAGTTACGCAACATTATTTGTTAAATTATAATTCATAATTAGAATTATTGTTACAAGATTGCCATTACTTCTTCTCTTCGGATTACTGTAATTCATTTCTGCTTGGCGCTTCTTCACTCGACATCTGTGATATGTAATCATTTTTTTTCAATTTTTAAGTTATAAATTAATGTGTTGTCCTAAGGTTTGTAATAAACTATTAATTAAATATGCACAAATTTATATGTATATATATAAATAAGGAAGTCTGTTTGTATCGTTGTTTGTTCGCTATGCATTCCTAGACCGTTCGATCAATTGCTACGAAACTAGGAAGGTACGTTAACATACTTCTAACTTAAAAATTGTTGTAATATCACCCCAAAATATTGATAAAATTTCTGTATATCAATTAATTTCTGTCTATATTCAATTTGCTGGCTTTACACGTAGCGCCATTTATTAGCAAAAGAAATTAAAAAATAATAAACTGAATATAATTGATACAAACAAGGTATTATTTTAAAAATTGTATACAGTGAAACCTGTCTATGGCGACCACCCACGGTTCCTTCAAAAAGTGGTCTTTTAGACAGGTGGTCGTCCAATACAGGTGGTCCTGTAATAACGTATTTCCGTACGTATTTTGCGTACTTTTTAGCCATTTCTACTAAGCAAAACTCNAGTGATATTACGATTTCGTACGTCCCATCTTTAAGGGAATGTAGAAAAAAACGTGTACAATTCTTGTATAATGTTAAAAAATTAACTGTTACTTTAGTAGCATAATTTACAATTAAATTTAGTGAATGAGAGAGATGCACAAGGTACAAAAAAAAGCTCTAGAACAGGGGTTCCCAATCATTTTATACTGTGACTGTGACTCCCTTTACTAACTGTAACTTTTTTGCGACGCCCTTCTGAAAGAAGATACCTGCGTGTAGCTCTAGCAGACATTAAAATTACTTCATTATTCAAAGAAAACTCCAAAGAATATAAANAAATGAATTCCCTTTGTTGCTAGACTAATTTATTAACACCTGCACCTAATTTCAAGGGTGGGAGAAGTGCCCGGGATGGGTTCGAACAAGAGTTTAGACTAATTTATTATATTTGGAGGGGGAAACGTTGTTAAGATGGGTTCTTACAATAGTTTAGACCAGATACATTCGCGAAAGTGGTCGCTTATTACAGGTGTTATATGTTGTTTCGGACCAAAAATCGATGCCCGCGGTCGCGTTACACAGGTGGTCGTTTAATACAGGTAACTTATACGAAGACTCTATGGGTAAACTATTCCGTGCCAGAAATTTTTGCCCGTTTTGACAGGTGCCCGTCGAATGCAGGTGGTCGCCTAAACAGTTTTCACTGTATATTATTTTCGCTTAATTAGTGATACAGTTAGCATATAGCATTGACCTGCGTGGAGTTGGAAACGTTACCATATCCAAAGAACGGTTACGTTAAATAATTTTACTATGTTTAATCGTGATGTAAACAAGTTTTTGCGCTATAATGTAACACTAAGCACAATAATAATAATAATAAACGTTAAATATTTAATGTGAGCGTTATTTTATTGAAAACACACTTCGATACTCTCTCGTTTAATGACGTGTGAAGTTCTCGTATCGTTAGAACTACACCGATAGGTTCGAGAATTCGTTTTATTGAAGAATTATATCGATTATCAGTCAACACACATTTATATATCGTGACTCACTCTTGAATAAAGTGTTAGAAGCATAGATTAATCTAAGTTTATTATTATTATTTTTTATATGTCTCACTTTTAATTTGAGGTAATTTTCAGGTAAAACTCCTCCCGTGAGGCACTTTTTACTTGGTTAAACGTCCAAGTTTACTATCGCATTATTCATCTGTTTAACAATTCAATCCTCTCGTTCTCGCATATCTATTTCTTTTTCATCCAATCGTCGAAAGAAAATGGCGTTCACAAAGATCTTTCTTCTAATATTATAGTTTTTGCATTCTAACCAATAACAGCAACATTCTGTTTAAATATCTCGATAGAGTTTCAAAATTTTCCTGAAAAAAAAAATATTACAAATAATTTTGAAATATCCCGTTGAACATGTAAGACACTATTTCAGCTTCAATAAACGGTTTCCATGTAAAAGTACCTGTCATCTTTTGTCTCCATAATCACCGCCTTCATAAGCGAGTGATCCTTAGCCATTTCTGATGTGGAATTAATCATTCTCTTCCTAATCCGCATATACAAATGCAGTATTAATGAATAATGGAAAAGCAATTGAAATATCGTTAAGAATTATGCAAACTAAATTTCATGTAATAAATTCAATTAGTGTAAATTATAAAACAAATCAATATGTATGGATGCATTTATAGATATAACCCCGAATTATTTGCATTTCTCGGCGTTTCAATGTTCTCGAAGTTCAAAAACGTAAAAATTTCGGAAGTCTTTTTTTAACCGATTGCCATACATTCCGTTATATATAACAGAGCCAGGAAAGGAATGAAGTGTTGTTTCGTGATACGAATTTAATTAATTTATTTACGAAGACTGTTCGAATTATGAATCGTCCGAAGAACAAATCGATTTTTCAAATTACAAATAATAGAAAGCGAATTAGTCTATTTCCAGACCCAAAACAATACCCATTTTGATAAATTAAAAAAAAAAAAAAAACAAATACACACAAGTTAAGGGTGAAAAAATTGTCAGGAATAAATTATTAAATCTCCACATATATAAATATAATACCAATATATATAACCACAATATACAAGATGTATTAGAATGACGTTTTAAAAATTTGGAGTGTAGAGGATGAAATTTTGAACTTTTTGATATAAGGAACCTATAGCCGGAAAGGTGATAGCCGGAAAAGTTTCTGCAGTACTTTGCACGTTCTATGCGGTCAGTATGCTGAATGAAACAGCAGAATACAGTATTTATGACAAGTTTTATTGACAAAACAGTAGAGTACAATCAAACTGTACATCGAATCAGTGGCTGCACTACTTTAGAGTAAATGTTCAATGTGACGACCACCAACTTCGTTACATAATGTGCAACGATGAACCATGTTTTGTCCGATTCTCTAAGATGCCACGCTCCCCTCTGATAGAATTAAATGCTGTAAAGATGCGCTCCGTAAGCTTATGAGCTGTTCCTGCAGGTGTTGCGTACACAAGGGACTCACGTTGACAAGCTGTGTGTTTACAGCACAGCGCCAGTGGATGCAAAGGGCGACCTGAAGGACGACAAGCACTAAGTACACAACGTCCTGTACACAGGCTCAGTTAGACCACTGTAGTTGGTGTTTACAGTCTTCCATCCGCAGCAATAACATGACGTCAATGGACGGAAGCTACCAAAATGACGGTCAAATGAACAGGTAGCTACCAAAGTGAAGGGCGGTCAAGCACTTCCTACCGCTGTAGACACTTTAGTTCAAATTTCCGGCTATAGGTTCCTTATATCAAAATGTTCAAAATTTCAACCTCTACAGTCCCCCAAATTTTTAAAACGTCATTCTAATACACCCTGTATATAATCGAAAACTAGAAATGAAGAGAAAAAGCACTGAAAACATGAGCGTAATACAACTTTATTTGTCATATTTCGTTTGAAGTATAAAATATCGTTCAACTCCAAGGTGAAGTTTTGTGAAATTTAATGTTCGAATTGTGATGTGTTCGAAGTACGAACTTCCACCTATCACTACAGTGTTCATAAAGTTTAAAGAGCCATAAATTACCTCTAAAATAAATGTTAATTTATTAATTTATAATCTTCGAACATCCAGATTATACTAAACTATGCTCAATACACCAATTTATCTCCGTTCTGAAATAAATTAATGAAGCGAATAGCTTATAAATCGATAGTTTCAATTAAAAATTTCCATCTCCGAAAAAGAAACAATTAGTGACCATAGCAACCTGTTACAACAGAACATATAAATTTCATACAACCGAATTGAAATATTCTGATAAAAAGAGAGATAAATTGTAGACTCAAAACAATTCTCTTTATATAAATGAAAAATGTCATTATTCCGAGAGAAAGAACGTTGTATGGGGTACATGCTGGCTCCAATACTTAACTCAGTTAAGATATTTGGACTAAATTTTTGGAATCCGTGTCAATGCATGGAAGAAGAAAGAAGAGCAAGGAACCATTTTAGATCAACATTATTTCAGTTGTATACTTCATTTCTAGAAATGTTTTTATGGATGACGGCTCTGTCTTTTACTATAAGATTGTATAATATCAATCTCTACTTTTTAAGAATTATCAAAATATTTGGAGATTATGTATTAGAAGCATCAGTGGTGTGTGCATTCTTCTCTGTCTACATTGCTGGGCAGTTTAGCATTCTGAAAAGAAGAAAAATTAAGTTTCATTGCGTTGTTGGCAGTTATCCAGAAGAATGGAAAATAAGAAAAATCATAGATGCGCATTCATTGCGGTTATGATGTATGTTATTTACTTTGTTCGTGACGACTACAGCAATGTCCGAAATTACATTATATGCAGAAGTAAAGAAACAAAAGGGAACAAACACAGAGGCATTTCTCGTGTCTGTCATTTATGGTTTATGGCACATTTATTCTATGGGTCAGATGCTATCTCTTGTTTTTATATGTTGGTCTGTTGTTTTCATATTACAGAAAAGATATCTGAAACTAGCAAAAGAAATAACGAATATAACAGTAGAGGCACACTTTCTACAGCAGATATTAGAGAAAATTTTGCAAAATCAGTTTGAACTTTGGGGATATTTCGCAATGATTAACGAAGAATTTGATATTTTTTTACCTTTTGTTTACACTTGTTTTCTTTACGGGACTTCTTTCGTTTGGTATGCAACATTATTTGTTAAATTATACCCGATAATCAGAATTTTCTTCATAATAGTATCATTGTTTCTTCTGTTTGGATTAATTTCTGTCTGCTTGGCTCTCTCTCGTTTGACATCTGCGGTAAATGATGATCATTATTACTTTTTCGATTCTTAAACCTCATAAATTAATTTATTTGCTATAAGTTTTTGATAAATTATTAATTGGAGTATTTATAAATATTTTTATTCACATTCAAAAAATTTTAATTTTTCTCATTGTTCATTATTTTTAATTGTTTTAATTTGAATACTTACATAATTATATTATATTTCGATCGTAATTTATGTTTGTTTATTATTGAAGAATGTGTATATATGAAGAATATGTAGCTTACGTCATATATATTATATGATATGTATAAGAAAGTGTTATAATTTTATTTTGCTGCTAAAAATGAAATTTATTATGACCTAAATTGCTGTTATTAACTAAACTCATCTGTCATATCTCTAATTATTTTGATGCTTGCATATATGTGTTTTAATTTAGAATAATGAAAAATAGTGTTATATATATTCGGAATAAAAATAATTATTTTTCTTTATTTTTGGCACCCCTCTTAGTTGAAATGTGGACTCAAAAGCGTAATCAGAATTTTTTTCCTGCGCTCAAAAATAACATAAAGGAGAAGATGGTATTATGGAACCCCAATTACATTTTAGTGAATTGTAAACAAGGTATCATAACTACACCCACATTTTTTGTGCAAAAAGTACTGGTAACTAGTAAACTAAGTGTTCCTAATTGGATTTTTCGCTAGTGTAATTATAAGTATGGTTTTTGAAGGCATTTGTACAAAAAGTCCGAAAGTAGGCTTAGAGAAAATCGGGTGGTAATATGGAACCTTACTGTATATTTTCAAAAAAATGCTTTAATGTAGCCAAAAACAAATAGGAAAGGA